GGCGGCGGAACCCAGCTTGTGTCTCTGCTGCCTGCACAGATCCTGTGCTGCAAGGACAAAGCGGGATGCCCAGGACTTGGCTGTCTCTTACCCCAGCAGCCAGAGCCTGGCTGTTTCCTCACCAGTTTTGTTCCTATTCCCTTCCTTGCATTGTGCACATCATCTCATACTGGAAGACTGCAGAAGTCAATGAGTATTCCCTATCCAAATATTATAAATTGCCCCCAGAGATGGAAAAGCCAACTCTTTGGAAGACCATCTCAGGTCAACTGTTACCATCTCATCGGTTTCCACATCTGGTGGCTCTCACTTCCCTACTGGGTGGCTTTGCCTCCTTTGGCTCTCGTGCCCTCTTACCAATCAAATGCAGCTTTATCTTTGCTTTCATACTTGTCATGGATATCTCCGGACAACTCCACCCGGCAGAAGTATCTCTCGCTGTCACTCCAGGTCAGATTGTCAATCCTGATGGAAAGGTCCTTGTGCCGGGGGTTGCCAAGCAGTTTGTATTTGCTTTTGTAGCTGATGGCAGTCTTACAGAGCTCGCTGGAGCTCTGGCTAATGCACTTGAAAACTATCGTGCCGTTGTAAGGTTCCTTGATCCTCCAAATAGCAGTGAGGGTGCGGTCGAATGTTTTGTAGGGGTGTGTGAAAGTACAGGGAAGGATAACCATCTTCCCAAGTTCACCAGTAACATCAGATGGGACATGAACAGACCAGCCATTGGACTGCACACCTAGAAGCAAAAAGAGATGATCAAGACTGATTTATGTGGAGTGTTTAAGAGGGAAATTGGGCATCCTTCCTACATCTGCTGGGTTGTTGCTCAGAAAATGGATGCTCTGCACCCGTGGTGGGCCCTGTTGCTGCCTGGTGTTCTTGCTGAGGACTCACAGATGACTGTGCAGCCCAGTTACCATGGCTGGATTTGGTACCAGTCTGCAGCAGAGCTAAGGGGACTGACTAGCTCATGTTGGAAGTGATTTAATTCTTAAGCAGACCTCGTTTCCCAAGTGAACAACAGCATCTTAAGTTGTTTAACAGTCTTTGGCAGTTAACACTTTTTTTTTTTTTTCAAAAGCTGAAAATAAAAGTTTTGCATGTATTCAGATATCTGGCAGCTTTAAGCACTGAAGTGCAGTAGGTGCAGGAGCCCTGCACTTGAGCGCCTGCACACACGCACTCTGATGTTGCACTATTTGTTACGCTGATCAGTTGGTGGTTGCATTACCCCTGGGGAAGGTAGCAACGGCTGACATTTCTAACCATCAGTGCTGCTGTCATCACAAAGTAGCATCTTATTTGTAAGACGTGACAGGATCTGAGTAAAGACTTGGAGATACTCATTCTACAAGGGCTGGTGAGAACAGCCCTGTATCAGCTCCTGTTGTAGGAAGGAGGATGTCCTCGACAGTAAAGAAAGCATCTCCCTGTTAGCAGAGCAGGTTGTCACTGCGTGGACTCTAGGTGCCAGTATCTTCCCAGACAGGACTTGTCCTAGTGTCATGGTGGGGGAAATCCCGAGTTTTCCAGAGGAGATGTCCCAAACAGTTGCCGAACAGTTGGGATTTTACTCTCTTGGCCAAATTTAGTCACAGTAAATCCTAGCGCAGTCTCGGGAGCTGAACATCAGAGCCACCAGACCCAGTCTGATCGTTTCTGTCCAGTGATGAAAACAGGTTCATCTGACTGGACGTTCCCCACCTTGGAAGTATACAGGGAAAATTCAACGTCTCATCTGTTTCCCTTCCCCAGGAACCAACAGCATCAACAAACAGCACCTGTAGGCACTGCTTTCCATATAGATATGTGTATCTATCCGCTGTCTTGCTAATTGCAACAGCTGCAGCAGCAGATTGTGGCTTCAGGAACGTCTGTGGCTAGATTCCTGTCTTATAAAGCTCACTTGATGGCTTCATTAAATCAGGAGCTCAGCTCTCAATAGCCGAGAATAATTGTGAAAAATATTAAGGATGTCCTGTAAATAATTGACACCCATCCCTGGTCTAGGGATTCATTGTGGTCTGTGGGCATTCAGCTGTAGGGTTAATTGAGTAAACTCTTAAGATAAGATTTGTTGCTTGTTCATGTATCTGTTCTCTGTAATATTTGACAAATACCTCAATGGCAGTGTAGCTCGTATTAATCTATTGTGTGCTGCACAATGAACAAAGGCCAATGTAGGACCAGTTCTCTGCCATTAGGTTATTTATCTGGAATCAGTGCCAAGCCAGTATTTTGATTTGCACTGACTCAAATAGTTCATTATAACTATTTGAGTACATTTTTCAGTCCAGGTAATATAATATACAAGGCTACATGGCCACAGGAGCTCCAGGAAACTTATGGACTTTGACCACAAAGACCTGGCAGTGAAAACAGAAAATGCCATTGCTTTCTATTTTATTTCATGTTTTGTTTTGTTTATTTTACAGCATGTCACTGTAACCCCGTACTTTTGGAGAACTGCAGATCATGTGCTTTTGAGTACATGACTTGCTTTTCTCTGCTACCTTTTTGGTTTGCCTTTTTTTTTTAAATCTTAAGCAAAGAACATTATTTTTAGCACATAAACCACCTCTTGCCTTCCACATGAGAAATAATGTTAAAAATAAGTGCTTCAAATGTCACCAATTCCACCCATTTCTGTGGAAACACATTTTGCCTAGGTCAGCATCTTGTGTATAATTTAATCTTAACCTTAAAGCTTCAGCATGGTAGGTCTTCCATGGCTTCCTCTTGCTAATGCCCAGCCTCCATTTGTTCCTGGGATTGGAGGTCATATAGGCAAATAGCCTACACACCGTACATGAGGTAACTCCTGAAAGGAGCTGCCAGGTCAGTTGTCAGTGGAAACGGTTTGAGGTCATGAACACAATAACAAGATCAAGAGCTGGAGACCACCACAGACACTAGCCTTCCTCTAGCAAACACTGTTTGCCAGTATATCAAAGCAAATCCCATTGAGCTTAATGGAACTTAAGTGCATACTTGAAGTTAAAGGTGAGCTTAAGTGCTCAGTGGAACTGGAGCAAATTGTGTCTGTCGCATAATAACTGCTAGGAACGTGAAACAGCACTTCTGGGTGGTGATGGAAATGCTGCATCCAACTGGCAATGCAGGGGAAAAGTTAGATGAAGATGAACTCCCTGCACAAGTTAAAAAAAAGGAAAAATGCAAAAAAACCCCAAGCCAAAGACCTTTTTGACAATCACAGAGTCAAGCCTTTGAGTTGTTCCAGTATTCTCACATGCAGCTCCAATTTCAGGATTCTTTTAAACAACATGATGGATTGTACAATTCTTGGAGAGTTTATTCTACCAGGCAATTCCCTTGGCACTTTGACTAGAGCGAAAAGAAAAGCCCTGATCAGACAGGGCAAGCTCAGAACTCACCCTTCCTGGAGATGCGAAGGAGGCACAGAAGAAACAAACCGAACTCTCTCATGCTGGTTGACGTTCTCCACTGAGGTGTATCAGCAAACCAGAACCGTCTCTACTACATCTGAGCTGCTGGTCTTGAAGTTACAAAAGGTTTTTCCAGGGATGGAAGAAGTTGTGGTTTTCCTCTCCTTGGAGGAAATGAGTTGTCTGGGGGAACCAGCTCTGGATTCAGATATTAATAGTTTTGTGGTCAATCATGTGAAAAATCCAACAGAGGGAATCAGAGTATTACCATTTTCCATCTAAAGGAAAGGGATTGCGGACTGGGGCTGCAAACACCCACTTCATGTGGGTGATGGTGCAAGAGGGGATGGCTTTCAAGTGCTACCAACTCACCGATCTGGAGGAAGTCCTTGCAATGTGCCTAAGGAGGTGGCATGTGAGACCCCTGTTCTCCTGGCTTGAGGTAGTTCATCCTCCTGAACCCAGAATCTGCAATGCAACTGTGTTTTACCCCTTGTGCTCACTAGTTATTGTCACTCTTAGGTGTAAAAAACCACCTTCTTCTTTCAAAATCATCTGAGCACTTGTGCCAAGGTTCGGCAGTGGAGGAGCGCTCTGGTGTCCCCCGGTACCCTGCTCTGTCCAGACTCCCGTGACCCTGACAAGTCGTGAAGTCGTTCTCGTCCTTGTTGTTAACCCATGTTTGAAATAAGCTGAGCTCCAGCTTTTGCCCAGAACGCTTGTGCAAATGCTTGCTCTTTCCTTCTGGGTTTAGCTTTAGCAAACTGACTGTGCAGTTTGCTAGTCCGCAGAGCTTGGGGCTGGTGGAGAGCTGACCGTGCTGCCCTCCATGTCATCTCCCAGTGATGCCTTTTAACCTCGGAGCATGCATTCCTTATCAGGGCTTAGCTTGAGGTTTGCTGCTTTTGCTTCAGCCCGGAGGACAGGCTGGTGCCTGACTCCCTCTTCTCATCTCAGCAGCTACACCGCTGGAGGGTCCCGCTATCTCTCTCCTTTTTGGGGTACGGGGACAGTAGCACCCACCCAATTACTGCTGTCGGCCGCGGTGGGGGGGGGTGTGCAGCCACTGGAGGGCTCCCAGAGCCAACGTAAGATGCTGCTGCTGCGCAGCTGCTGCCACTGTCGCTGTGCCAAGAGCCAGGTCCTTCCCGCAGCAGAGGTGCCAGGGCTGCCCTTTGCTCCTCACCTCTTCTCCTCCCTCCTCTCCGTGTATGTTTCCTTAACTTGCCGTGCAAAACCTCCCAGAATGGGGACTTGGAAATTTGGTAGTATTGTGCTCGCTGCTTTCTGAACTCTTCCTTTGTTCTGGTCACAGTCAGAGTTACCCTCCCAGTGTCTGTGAAGGAAGGGGATTTCTGTTATCCTGGAATTTTTGGAGGAAGCTCTGAGAGTATCTAGCTATTATTTACAGTGGCTTGGGCCTGTTGCTACTCAGCAAAAGGGGGTATTATTTCAACTAATGACTTAGAGCCCTGCTCCGTTCCTATGCATGTCCTCCTGGAGCAGGAGATCAGGACTCAGTGCTCTAATTACTTTGCAAACTGTCCTTAATAGCTGTAAAGAGTAATACATGCCATTGTCAGCAGAGAAACCTGAGGGTATGGGTGGTGGAAACTGCAAATAAGAGACCTGCATCCTTATCCCATCTGTGTTATGCGTCTTTTCTGTGCACCTTCCCCATTTTCCTATATATACTGCTTGATTTTATCTATTTGTGATGTAAACGTCTTGGTGTTGTGATATCTCTAAGCATTTCACCCTTCTTGGCCCAGTGGGTCCCAGTGGATTGAAGTAAAAGATTAAAGTGAAATCCATGCTTACAACATGTTGTTACAGCGAAGCATAAAGTATCAATGTAAAGAAGTGGTTAACACAGTATGAACCTCTGCCTCTCTATTGTTTTACTCCAGCATCTCCTAGGCAAATATCCGGTAAATCAGTGCAGAAGAACAAATCCTTTGAGTTTTATCTTTAGACTGATTTTCTTTTCAGACCATGAGATAGCTATTTGCAATGAAGCATTTTGATATTTAAAATACAGAGTTGAAAATGTATAGCTGAAAATGCTTGCAAACTATTTGAATCAGCCAAAAAATCTTGTGAACAAAAACATCCATGGCTATGTGATCCACAGACTCTGTTGTTTGTGACCTTTTCTTCCAGTTCTGTGCTTAAACAGTACCTAAGATTTCTGTAAGAAAGGCTGCTTCTGGTCTAACACCAAACCTAGGATGCTTTCTGTATTCATCACATGCTGGTTTTCTTCCTGGTACATCATTTTTTAAGGGCTGTAGGTAATCACAACATCTGTTACGCTACTTTACGAATATCTTCCCTCAGTGCTTGTACAGAAGCAACAATCACAGATCTGGTCCCAGAGACACCCAAGTTTATGTTGCTTCCTTGTGCTATGATAATACATGGAATCTGGAGAAAGAGGAGAATGGAAACTTCTGGGTTTTCCCACTCTGTAAATGAATGAACCCATTTAAATAAAAAGACCCTCTAAATAAAAACTAGAGGAACCCGTAAATACAAGTAAGTAGCAATTGAATACAGGCCAGTGGGAAATTTTCAGCCAAGGACAGGGACACATCTGCCATCCCACCAGTGGTATGGCAGGTTCATGCTGTGCTCTTTGGCATCTGAAGGGGAGGACCTCATGTCTCCATCACATTCACGGCTGTGACTGGTTCTGTGAGTAGCAGTGCTGGGGATTTGAAGGTTACCTTTGGAAGATGGTACCGACTGTCTTCAGTAGGAACCAACATCAACCTTTCCTCCCTGGACTTTGCCTCCTCTGTTTGACCTAAATCCAGGTGACGGCCTCATGAAGCACTGAGAAAGGTGAGAGATGCATGGTGTCTGGGTGTTGCCTTGACTAGAGTAACTACGTGTTAGTGGCACTGTAACGAGTTATGTACCATACCATATACGTTGCAATTTAAAGGCACAATCTGATAGAGAAAGCACAGAAAAAGGGAAGAACGATGTTGAAATAAACTGATTAGATGGTCAGTGGCTGTATCTTGCTAATGTGAATGTTTTACAGGGCCAGCAGCATTCCCCAGCTCCTTTTAACCTTTCCTATTTGGCTGACTTCTTGTAGAGGTTAGCCTCTTGTAGAATGTTCACCTCTCCTAAATCTCTGAGAAATTTCCTCAGTGTTTTGTGACGGATCATTGATGAAACTTGCAGGGCAACCCAGAAGCACGCCAGGATGATTTCTTAGCAGATGTGCCCTCCATTCAGCGACAACCCTTGCACCACACGCGTTGGCAGACCGCAACTTGTTAGCCGGGCCCTTTGGACTTGTCAGAGCCTGCTCCATGCCACCTTGCATGCTTCTCCGCTGACCGCTGTGTTAAACTGCTGTGATCTGAGCATCCGTCTGGTCCTGGGGGGGTGGTGATATGCACCCAGGATGCAACATGTAGATGGAGATGGGCATGGCAGAGCTTGTGTGGTCCCAGGTTTGTAACTGAGGACCTAAGCAGTGAGCTTTTCTCTGTGTGTGTGTACTTGTGCTGATAATGCACCTGCTACAAGGACCAGAGTGGGGCCAGTTGTTCTCCCTTCCTTCCTTCTGGTCTTAATCCCAGCTCCAAAGTTTTCTCCTTCAATTACTTCAGTGGCATGTGTAAGTCCTGCCCCTAGTCCTTTGAGTGTGCCAATCTGCACATGTTCGACGCAAAAGCCTTATGTTTTGTCAAATTTGGCACTCTTCCCTGAAGGGATTGGGTCTGTGAAGTAGCTGGAAGGTGAAGTCGGGAGGCCAGAGGAATTTTTCCTCTGTCTGGCCTCTGCCAGCTGAGCGGGAGAAAGCTGAGCCCTGCTGAGGTTCTTGGGGAGCTGCTGTGGGCTGCGATCTCCCCTGTGTGACCACTTCATCCTCACCAAGCTGGAGGGAAAAAAATAACAACAGGTATACCTATAGTGCAAGGAAAGTAGAAGGGGTGGAAGGGATGAAGGATGTCTAAATCAGTCACCATTCCTGTAGGTGACACTAACCCTGCTTCCTGGCAGCGAGTGTGCCTGCAGAACACGGTCATCACTGCGTCAAACTCCTGCTGATCCAATTAAAAAGTCTACAGGTTCAGTCGCTTGTCTGTGATGTTTGCTTAGCCCATTACAAATGCTCCTGATGTGGGAAACTCTCCTGCTTGCCATATCATCGCTGCAAGGTCCTGAGCTGTTCCATTACCAAAGCTGCAGCAGCTAATTGATGGAGGAGCAACAGGGCTGCTGCTGAGCCTCTGGTGAACATCAGCTAAAGAAAGTTAAATGGATATTTGGGTACTTTTCTCCTAGTGGGCAATTACTGTATGAAAAACATAGCTTGCATCTGATTATGGGCAGAACATCGGGTGGAAAAAGGAATAGGAAGCGTCTCTCTACTAACTTGTGGTCTGTTGACTTCTGCAGTCACATCTTTGTATTGAGATGAAGAACAGGTCTGATCTCCCAGACTGACCCCACTACTGCCTGACCAAAGCCTCTGCTATGAGCAGGAAGAACTGGCTTTGGAACACTGCAGACAGGCAGTGACATGGTGTGCTCCACTTTGCTGGTACCAAGGTAGGTCAAAGCCACTGACAGGATGAGCCTGGAGCCATGATAACGCTAGTGCCCACCTTCTCCAGGCAGCACTAGAGCTCAGGACAGGGCAACTGTTTATTATGGGCTTGCAGAGTTAACAGTGAAGTTGTATCATGTCAGCACTGGGCTTGGTCCCAAGCTTAACCAACAGTGTAAGATACACCAGATTTCATCACTGGTTTGCCCTGAAATGCCTGATGCGGCCATTTGGAACGGCAACCCTGAGCGACCTTTGACTCGCATATGGACTTGCTTAAAGATAGCAGTGGGAAGTTTTAAGACTGAGCCCAATGCTCCTCGGACCCAAGTGAGCTTACCAGCCACTGACTGTCCTCCCCTACCCTGGTCATCATGTTATCCAAATAAATACTGAAGGTCCAGTCTCTGTGCGATGCTGGGATTAGCCTGATCAAGGGGATGAGCCAGCTGGCAAAACAGAGACACTAAACCTGTACTTTAGCCTAATCCAAATGATGTGTCTGATTAAAGGCGCTTGAAATGCCACCAGCAAAGAAGTCCCTGCCTACCCTTTCTACTGAAGGTGAGCCTGTGCAGATTTATGTGCTCTGGGTTTCCCTGCAGATTGAGCGCAGCTGATGATTTAAGAGATATGTGCTCCTTTAGCTGTAGATTTCACAGCCCGTCTCTGGGATGGGGGATGCACTCCCTTACACTGCAGCTTGGAAGGACTGTGAGATGGTTGTATCCATCAGTCACATGGTATCTGGAGCAGGTCCTGAACTTTCCTTTGACACAACACTATTGACTAGCGAAGCAGTGGGACCGATGCATGGTCTGAGCATTGGCCACCACCACCTCTGTGCTGTCTCACTTTGCAGACTCAAAGTAGATTCAGAAGCACTTAGACTTAGCTCTGCAACAATTAATAGAAAGACACCTCTCTGGGATGTGCCTCTGGAGAATACCTCTCTACCTCTTGCTTTTACTCATACTCTGCCTTGCCTGAGATCCTGCACCCAGCCTCTCTAGACTGAAATTTAGTGTGGCATCTTCCCTGAGAAACAAAGCATTCTGGTGTCCTTTGTCCTTCCTGATGTCTGATACTTGATAGTGTTTCATTGATCCAAATGCAAAATGTAACTGTAATGGTGGTGGTGTTGGTTTGTTTGGGTTTTGGTTTGTTTGTTTTGTTTTAACCTTGGTGCCCCAAGCTGTCATGCATCTGCAACTTGATTAAGGCATGAACTGTTCAGCCATTTCTCCTTACTCACTGGCAAACTTCAGATGAATTTCTCCTCTTGGCATTATTTGCTGCTGTAGAGCTCCAGAAGTGCTTTGACTGCTCCTCAACTCACCTACCTGTAAGTGTCAAACACAGGCTTTCTATCCTGCATGGGTATCTCGCCATCATGTTTGCTATTAAATATAGCCCAACACGTGTTTGAAAGTGATGGCTTTCAAGAATGAGTTGAATGGCCAGAGGAGACCATTACACCATCTAATCTGACCTTGTATATAACTTCTAGTATAACATAGACTTTTTTTTTTCCCCCTCCATTAGCTCCTTAACTGAATTCCCAAACTTGGATTTGACCTAGGTGCCATGTGTGGTAGGAAGGACTGAGGGAAGGCTCAGCACCCACAGCTCCTGCCCAGCCACACTGGGCAAGTGTGGGAGCAAAGGTGAGTTGCAGACGTGAAGCCAAGCTGTTGAGGTAATAAATGAGGCAAGGCTGAGTGATCACTCTTTCCAATGAACTGTGTCTAGAGGCAATATTCTTTGACAGCCTTGACCTGATTGTCCCAGGATTGTCTACATTACAATTAAATCTGCAGCTGAGTATACACAGAGGCAAGTGTGTTTTAAGGGCATTGTAGACACTTTTGCCTTTAAGGGAACCGCTGCAAATAATTTTTGTAGGTAGCTCATGACCTGTATGAGGGGCAGGCAGTGTAGGTACTATTGAAAGAGGAGACATTTACTTGAAATCTTGGCAGAGACTGTCAGTGCAAGATCATCCTTTCTAGCTGGAACAGGAATTGGGTGAGATGAAGGCAGCAACTTTCCTTGCCCTGATGGAGTGGCCTGCCCATGGATGAGAAGGAATAATTTTTGAGGTCTGTGGAAGAGATTACCCAGAAAGCAAGTTGAAGATGGGATAATGTTGCTGTTTTATCTCATTTGGGGTTGTTCTTCTAGAGTTCAGTTTGCTCAATGGGTATGATATTTTGATCAATGCTGGCAACAGGGCTTAATAGGACATCCTAATAAAGTATTACTGCCTGTGTGTTTACTCTTTACCTTCACCTCAGGAAATATTTCTGGTAGTAAGTGGAACATTTAGTGGCAATAAATGGCAAACAGTTTTCAGCACTTCTCCAGTGTGTTCAATCCTGCCTTCAAACCACAACACTCATAGAATCATAAAATATTTAAGGTTGGAAAAGATCATCAAGTCCAACCATTAACCCAACACCACCATATCTACCATATCAACCATGTCCCGAAGTGCCATGTCTACACCTTTTTTCGAACACCTCCAGGGATGGTGACTCCACCACCTCTCTGGGCAGCCTGTTCCAATGACTGACCACTCTTTCGGTGAAGAACTTTTTCCTAATATCCAATCTAAACCTCCCCTGGTGCAACTTGAGACCATTCCCTCTTGTCCTTTCACTAGTTACTTGGGAGAAGAGACCAACACCCACCTGGCTACAACCTCCTTTCAGATAGTTGTAGAGAACGATCAGGTCTCCCCTTAGCCTCCTCTTCTCCAGACTAAACAACCACAGTTCCGTCAGCTGGTCCTCAAAACGCTTCTGCTCCAGACCCTTCCCCCCTCCGTTGCCATTCTCTGGACACGCTCCAGCACCTCAGTGTCCTTCCTGTAGCAAGGGGCCCAAAACTGAACCCAGCACTCAAGGTGCAGCCCCACCAGAGCCGAGCACAGGGGGACAATCACTTTCCTAGTCCTGCTGGCCACACCATTCCTGATACCAGCCAGGATGCTGTTGGCCACCTTGGCCACCTGGGCACACTGCTGGCTCATGTTCACTCAGCTGTTGACCAGCATGCCCAGTTCCTTTTCCTCCAGGCAGCTTTCCAGCCACTCTTGCCCAAGCCTGTACCATTGCCTGGGGTTGTTGTGACCCAAGTGCAGGACCCAGCACTGAGCCTTTGTTGAACCTCAGACAGTTGTCCTCAGCCCATTGATCCAGCCTGTCCAGATCCCTCTGCAGAGCCTTCCTACCCTTTAGCAGATCAACACACCCGCCCAATTTGGTGTAATCTGCAAACTTACTGAGGGTGTACTCAATCCCCTCATCCAGATCATTGGTAAAGATATTAAACAAGACTGGCCCCAAGACTGAGCCCTGGGGAACACCACTTGTGACCAGCTGCCAACTGGATTTAACTCCATTCACCACAACTCTCTGGGCTCGGCCTTCCAGCCAGTTGTTTACTGAGCGAAGAGTGCACCTGTCCAAGCCATGAGCCACCAGCTTCTCAAGGAGAATGCTGTGGGAGACCGTGTCGAAGGCTTTACTACAGTCCAGGTAGATAATATCCACAGCCTTTCATTCCTTC